CTAACGTTTTTGAATGGTTGGAACTAGGGCTTTCATATTTCACATGTGTATTCCTTCTGACAAGATCCCCCCTTGGGGAGTGTTGCTAAAACGCGGAACGGAAAACGGAAAATATTATTCAAGGTTAAATCACTTAAGATATATAAATAATACCAGAAACAGTATACATCATATAAATTTTTCATATTTAATCCTTAATTATTAAAATACGAGTTGATTTAGTCATGTTCATTCTCTTATTTATGAAGATGTCTGAACATAGACAAAGCACAGGGTACGGAAAACGGAACAGAAAATATATAATGCTGTACATACACATGTATCATGTTGTGGTAAAATATGGATACGTTGGAGAAATTTATTGAAGATCACTCTGATTAATATGAACGGCAGGTACTCGATATCCTTATGAGCCATATGAGCGAAAAATTCCATAATTTTCAATGCATATGTACCCATGCTCCTTAAGTGTGGATAACGTACATCTCTGTAACCCCCGCCCCTCCCCCCCCCCCCAATACTTAAATATAAATAACAACTCTATATGTTTTTGCGAAAATATGTAATTTCCCCATCAATTTCATTTTGACGTTATTCCGTGTAATCAATTTAAGCTATTTTGCACTATTTGGTCATTTATACATGTATGCTATCTTTCTTAAATCTCCGTTTCAGGTCCCTGTGGATTTCATCAACACTCCTGTAGTTGTAATAAACTTTTTTTTTAAATTGTTTTCTTAATGCCAGTGATCGTTTTCTCTAACACAAATGTATATACATGTATACTCTGTCTTTCATAATCAATACTGACAATTTTGTCTTTGACGAATAAGCCATTTTTAGCTCTACTGGTCAGAGACCAGAAGAGCTTATGCGATAGTAAGGTGTCCGTCGTCCGTCCGTCTGTCTGTCTGTCTGTCTGTCCGTCTGTAAACAATTTTTCAAAATGCTACTCCTCCTACAGTTTTGGTCTGATTTCAGTATAACTTGGCACACAAGTAGACTACACTAAGATACATAATTCTGTGTATCGGTTTTTGATTTCGATGAACGGTATTGCCATGGTTACTAAAAATAGAAATTTCTGTGAAAAACATTCAAAATGCTACTCCTCCTACAGTTTTGATCTGATTTCAATATAACTTGGCACACAAGTAGACTACACTAAGATACATAATTCTGTGTATCGGTTTTTGATTTCGATGAACGGTGTTGCCATGGTTACTGAAAATAGAAATTTCTGTGAATAACATTCAAAATGCTACTCCTCCTACAGTTTTGATCTGATTTCAATATAACTTGGCACACAAGTAGACTATACTAAGATACATATTTCTTTTTATCGGTTTTTGATTTCGATGAACGGTGTTGCCATGGTTACTAAAAATAGAAATTTCTGTGAAATACTTTCAAAATGCTACTCCTCCTACAGTTTTGATCTGATTTCAATATAACTTGGCACACAAGTAGACTATACTAAGATGCATAATTCTGTATATCGGTTTTTGATTTCGATGAACGATGTTGCTATGGTTACTAAAAATAGAAATTTCTGTGAAATACTTTCAAAATGCTACTCCTCCTACAGTTTTGATCTGATTTCAGTATAACTTGGCAAACAAGTAGACTACACTAAGATACATAATTCTTTATATTGATTTTCTGATTTCGATGAACATTGTTGCCATGGTTACTAAAAATAGAAATTTCCTTGAAATACCTTCAAAATGCTACCCCTACAGTTCTGGTCTGATTTTAGTAAAACTAATTAGCACACAAGTAGACTACACTGAGATACATAATTCTCTATACCAGTTTCGGATTTCGATGAACAGTGTTGCCATGGTTACTAAAAATAGAAATTTTCTTGAAATACTTTCAAAACGCTACTCCTCCTACACTTTTTGTCTGATTTCAGTATAATGTGGCATACAAGTAGACTACAGAGATACATAATTGGTGTTATTGTTTTTTGATTTTGTTGAATGATGTTGCCATGGTAACTTAAATCAAAATTTCTGTAAAATTGTTTTAAAAGGCTACTCCTCCTATAGTTTTAGTCTGATGTTATAATAAATCTTGCCACAAAAGAGACTTAACCAAGGATCATTATTCTGTTTATTGCTGTTGCAAAGTTTCAAGTCCAAGTGCTACTTTTATCTTCCTTTATAAATACAACCAGTAGAGCTACAGTCTCGTCAGAGATTTCTGGTTTAAAACTCAGATTTGGATGAGTGATAAGCATGCACGGATCCAGGAATTTTTTTACCGGGGGGGGGGGGGGAGGGGTTCACCTCAGTCAAATATAAAAATAGAAATTTCTTGACAAGCAAAAACAACAACAACAAAAGCAAAAAACAAAACAAAACAAAAAAAAACGTAAACTCCCTTTCCCAAAGGTGACAATCTCATTAAAATTAGATGTTCAGAATCCGTTTGAGAAGCGGTATCGTTTTCGGAACATCTAATTTTAATTAGATTGCAAACGTGAAAAACCTGTTTCGTGGGGGTGGGGGTTAGTCGTTGACTTCTAAAGCTTCATCCTATGACCTTTCAGACCTAGATCCGCGTTTTCGAGGAGAGGGGGCGTTTTCTAGAGGGGGGGGGGCACATGGTCACTTTTAATCGGTTTGGTTTATACATGTTATAACTGCAAATTTCACGGGGGGGGGGGGGGGGGTCCGGACCCCCCCCCCCCCTCTAGATCCGCGCATGATAAGTGAGACATTCTGATAGATAATTGGGATGCAGTCTAATTAGTGTGTATTTTATTGACAAATGCATGTATATGCTAATGTTCTGAGGAAAAAAAAATCATAAATAAATCACATTGTTACGGTAACTATTAATTATATGTAGATACGAACTACATGTATTAGATAAAGAAAATTGCTCCCTATGTCTGAATTGAAAAACTTGACATTAAATTTTCCGTTTTCCGTTCCGTTCCGCTTTCCGTTCCGCGTTTTAGCAACACCCCCCCCCCCCCCCTTGGGTACCAACAATATTAAGACTTGATTTGATCTTGATCTTAGAGTTTCATTCACTTTTGAAAGAAAAATAACTCTAACCTTGGCCATAACTATTGAATATTTGGAATTAATGGACAGGTAACAGGCAGCTTGTTTGATAACAGAGTAGCTACTTGTAGCCCTGTACAACTTATTTGACGCCTCTGGGATTAAGTCCCTATGTGGTCATATATTGAAACTTTTCTTAAATCCTGAAATTATTATGAAAATGGCTAAATAGTTTTCACTAAAGATTTGCTGCATTATTACCAGTTTCGGCCCAAGTGCTTATAGTCTAAGAAATTCAGATGAAGGTCTAGACCCATGGTTCATGGTAAGTCTAAAAATTATCTCACCTGTGTAAAATGCAAGCATAGCCAGACACAATCCAGTTTCTGACTAAATTGGGTCCGTCCCCGCATTTTTATACCCCTGTATCCGCACACCTCCATATTTGTAATTCCTTCAAAATTTGCAATAATAACTTTATATTTGAATTTTAATAATTATTATTCTGTCCTCCAACACTCTTTAATTTCCTAATGCACATTAAAATATAATTTCCAATCTTTAAATTTTATATGTTGTAACTAATTCATACCAACAGCTGACCTATGGTCACTACAATACTATTGGTTGTCCCTTCATCCTAACCAATGTAACTTTTGATAAACGATTAAACAACTGCATTCTAATGAATCGTTTTCTTGGAACCGTCCAGGTGAAAAGATCAACCCCCTCGTGGCCAACGGTTATGTATATTTTTATTCTCTCTAGAGTAAGCATCTGCTCTCTCTTTTAGCCAAATACATAATAATATTTTACATCCTTATTAGCTCTACTGGTCAGAGACCAGAAGAGCTTATGCGATAATAAAGTGTCCGTCGTCCGTCCGTCTGTCTGTCTGTCCGTCCGTCTGTAAACAATTTCTCAAAACGCTACTCCTCCTACAGTTTTAGTCTGATTTCAATATAACTTAGCACACAAGTAGACTACACTAAGATACATAATTCTGTGTATCGGTTTTTGATTTCGATGAACGGTGTTGCCATGGTTACTAAAAATAGAAATTTCCTTGAAATATTTTTAAAACACTACTCCTCCTACAGTTTTGGTCCGATTTAAGTTTTACTTAGCACTCAATTAGACTACACTAAGACACATAATGTGTATATCGGTTTTTGATTTCGATGAACGGTGTTGCCGTGGTTACTAAAAATAGAAATTTCCTTGAAATACTTAAAAAATGCTACTCCTCCTACAGTTTTGATCTGATTTCATTATAACTTAGCACAGAGGTAGACTAGACTATGATACATAATTCTATATATCGATTTTTGATTTCAATGAACGGTGTTGCCATGGTTACTAAAAACAGAAATTTCTGTGAAACTCTTAAAACCCTATTCCTCCTACAGTTTTGGTATGATTTCAGTATAACTTGACACACAAGTAGACTACACTATGATAGAAAATTGTCTTTATTGTTTTTTGATTTGGTTGAATGATGTTGTCATGGTTACTAAAATTGAAATTTCTGTAAAATTCTTTTAAAAGACTAATCCTCCCATAGATTTAGTCTGATTGCAGTAAATCTTAATACTGCAAAAATCTCAATAAAACAAAAAGAGACTACAACAAAGATCATTACTCTAGTTATTGCTGTTGCAAAGTTTCAAGTCCAAGTGCTACTTTTAAGTACAAACCAGTAGAGCTACAGTCTCATCAGGGACTTCTGGTTTTTATAAAATTTTTGATAATGATAATTATACAAATCTAAAAAAGCAGGTAAGCACTGAACAGGTGTTAATCACAAATTCTGCAGTTGTGAAGAAGAACGTTCCGCCTTCAAAGTATAAATATTTCAATTTTGTTTTGCAGCATATCTTGCTATAATAAGAATTGACAAGGCAACAAAGAACAACATCGAGTTCAAATCTGAGCTATTGAGACAGTGATTATATACATTTTAGTCGATTTTTCTTCCAGGAAAAATTAGAGCCAAACCAATATCTGGAGAAATTGCTGTGTTTTTCAACGATCAAAAGACCAACGATTTCAACGCTTTGGTCAAAACTATTACAGGTTCTCCTTATCTTGTCATATGCATGTGAATGTTTTATTTGATGATTATAAGATGGTTATAATGCAAAACACTTGTTTCATTAAATACCTAACGAAATCAAGTCAGATGCAAGCTTGACAGCCATTCTTTTTATATATATATATATATATATATATATATGTATATCTCCAAATTATATTTGCAATTTGAGATTTCAGCTGAAATGCATTTGAATTTTTAAAGTAGCCTTTTCGGTACATAGAATCAAACAAAATTACCCACTTCTGAAGCTGAAAAATAGAAATTCCGTAAACCTCGCTGCCCTGTTTGTGATATTTGGATTCGGATGATGAAAACTATTTTACGCTTGTATTGCAGTGTTATTTGTTTTGTTTTTTTTTTATAATGTGAGCTTTATTATATTGAATTGTTTTTTATGTTTTGAGTTTTTTTTCAAGCTGCAGAAATACATATTTGCTGTTTTAGTTTTCAAAGAAGAAATGAATGATCCTCTCCTCCGAATTTTCATCAATCCTAGCAATGCATATGGGCGCTGCCTTCCGGAATCCAGTATCGACATTGGCATTAGCACATTCATGGTGCACTGGGTATCCACGTATGTCATTAAATGTATTTGATAGAGCCATAAAGGATCGCTTGTTTATCTATGTAAATAAATGCAGTCGCTCTTCATTTAACTTGTGTACCTTAAATATTTTCAATCCTTTAGCTCACTTTAATTAATACGACTGAAAAAACTGGGGGGGGGGGGGACTTCTAATCATTTACACTTATTGTAAAGGGGGAAACACGGGACGAATCCCCCCCCCCCCAAAAAATTATTTCATAATCTTGAAACATTTGCTTACTAGCTCACAGTCCCCAGATTACTATACCTGATATAATTATGTGGTATTTCTAAGTTACATATACCAACAACATATTTAGCGGCTTAATTTTTAAACTCAACAATGTACATGTATATAATGCATTTCCGTGAAAAATTTGTTCAATCGTATCTCTTTTTACACTAGTGAAGAACATGTTTGTATAGCTGTAGAGGCGGACGTTTTATTATGTTTTAACCCGAAAGGAACTACAAGAGAAATAAACTTACGATCCGGGGTTAATTAAGGAATCACTGTCTAGTAGTAAACGATTTCGCCCGTTATGCAAATTATTCCACGTTTCCAACTATCGTTGATGCCCTGGCATACTCTACTAAATAGACAGTGATTCCTTATATTTCCATTTCATTGTGAAATAAAATTGTAAATTTAGATTTTAAAAACGTAGACTAATAGATTTAAATTACACGAGGCCTCGCATATCAATTTCAATAGACCCCGCCCACTGACATCAAACACATAGACAGCAGCACGAGAATTACATGCATTTTAGGCCTCCTTAGCGTCGGACACAAAGACAGCCGCACGATAATTACATGCATATTAGGCCTTCTTAGCTCCTGACCTTTCGCTCGGTGAAATTTACATTCCGGTAGAATGATCAAGAAATCAACTCAACTAACTTTCAAAGTGTTATCTCAGAGAAAACAAATAGAACTGGAAATATTAAAAGATCAACTTAAAAAGGTTGAATGATTATGCACATACCGTGCTATGCAACTGTTCGCTGAAGTTCAAACACCGTCTCTTTATCTGTTATCTATGAATGATCAGAATCTAATTTGTTTAAATAATGTTAAAATACTCAGATCATATTCATGGAAATTCCTTATCGAACACGATTTTGATAATTTTGTAATTTATAAGTCAGTCATTATCAAAATCCGCAGAAATAAAATCTCAGGAAAATCAACAAATTTATCATATCTGAAGAACACAAAAACACGGAACTCCCACCTAGAAATTATTTGATTACAGAGTAAGAAGAGATCAAAGATCTGATTCTCCTAAAAATGTTGTCCTTCCTGTTAAGATAAAATAATACAAGTTTCGCTATTAAGAGGTGCAAAAATAATTATAAAATTTGTTCAAACTAGAATGTGAAAGAATGACAAAAAAAAAGAACCGGTAATAGTTTTTCATTGAAACAGAAGTCAGAGTGACATAATTTTTGACGATTTTGAAACTGATCAACATTATGTTTAATAGTTTTACCATTTGACAGTTATAACTAGAATTATTACTGAATTACATATTCAATACAAAACAAAACTGGATTTACATTTAGAAAAAAAGCTTGCTTATGCATATATGTCTTTTCTATAACAATCCCTGTCTTTCCTGTTACAATCTTATATTAAGAAATCCTTTACTATAAAGAATTATCTTTTTTAAATTGATTTGTTTGTTTGTATGTTGTTTAACGTCCCTCTCGAGAATTTTTCACTCATATGGAGACGTCACCACTTGCCGGTGGAGAGCTGCAAATTTTGTCCTATACTCGGCACTTACGACCATTGAGCAGGGAGGGGTCTTTTTCGTGCCAGCACCTACTGCGACACGGGACCTCGATTTATCCGGTCTCATCCGAAGGACCGGTCTCCACGTCCCACAAAGGGATTTTTTTAATTGAAAAAAAAAGAACAAAAAATAAAAGGAATATTACGGAGTATTAATATGATAATAATATTAAATATGACAAATTAAAGTCGACATTTTTTTTTTCTGATTTTAGGAAAATGTATCCAACTGTTACAATATGACTGTTACAGTGTATGTCTTTCCTGTTACAAAATCACTTTTAATGTTTTAACATATATATTTGAACCAATTTTTCCTCACTCAGGGTGTATTCATTTTATGTGCTACTTCATAAAAAAACTGTACGAAAATTAATTGCTAGATTAATGACAAGGTAGGTCTCAGATCTTCATTTTATGTAGTATTAGTTTTTCCTGTAATAAAAATTCTCTTTACTGTTATAAATGTACACGTAACAGGATGGACAACAACAGGATAGATTGATTGATTGTATGTTTTTTTTTTAGGTCACCTGAGTCACTCAGGTGACCTATTGCTATCCGTTTTTGTCCGTCGGCGTGCGTCGTGCGATGTGCGTTAACATTTGAACATTTTTAGCTTCTTCTCTGAAACCGCTCAGCCAATTTCAACTAAATTTGGCATATAGCATCTATGGGTGAAGGGGAACAAAATTGTGAATTTCATGGTCCCTGCCCCCCTGGGGCCCGAGGGGTGGGGCTAAAACCACCAAAATTAATGCAATCTTTAAAAATCTTCTTCTTTACTCCTGGACATCAAGCAGTCAAACTGTTGGCATCATTGTGATAAGCATTGAGTCCCCTACCAAAATTGTGAAATTCATGGCCCAAGGGTCAGGGGTTCTGGTGCTAGGGCGGGGCTATATAGATCATATAGTGAAAGTGCATTATTTCTTTGAAAATCTTCTTCTCAGCTCCTGGGTATTAAATAAACAACTACATGTAAGTATATAGTTATGATGAGCAAGAGTGACTCTTCCAAAATTGTGAAATTCATGGCCCCAGGGTCAGGGGTTCCGGTGTTGGGGGGGGGGGGCTCTATTGATTATATAGGGAAAAGGCATGAATTCTTTGAAAATCTTCTTCTCTGCTCCTGAGTATTTTTCAAACAAAGGAAGTGTATGGTTATGATAAGGAAGAATGCCTCTTCCAAAATTGTGAAATTCATGGCCCCTGGGTTAGGGGTTTTGGTGGGTGGGTGGGGGGGGGGAGCTCTATTGATTACATGTATATAGTGAAAATGCATAATTTCTTCCAAATTTTTTTTTATCTACTACTGGTTATAAACTAAAGAAACAAGTGTATAGTTATGATGAGAAAGGGTGCTTCTTTCAGAATTGTGAGTTTGTGGCCAATGGGTCAGATGTTCTGGTGTAAGGATGGGGCTTTGTTTATTTAATAATATGGTGAAAAGGCATTTCTTTGAAAATCTTCTGTGCTTCTCTGGATGTTTAAGGCAAACAGAGTAAAAGTTTTAATATGCAAGGGTATTTTTACCAGAATTTTGAACACCTGGACCATTTAGTCAAGTTTTCTGGTCCTGGCCAGGGCTCTATTAACTTGTATTCTACTGAGCAAAGTTATTCCCCTTAGCCATTCACCTTTGATAATTAATCATTGTACATAATGTATTTGAAAGCTTAATAGAATAAGAGAATTATGCAAGAAAATTTATTGTATAATAAAAAAAGTACTTTTATAGTTTTAATGACTTGGAAATAATAGATGAATAAAAATGAGACAAAAATAACTTATCTTTTTAAATGTTCTTCACTGGCCAAGAGAGGCCATTGTGAGAAGGAATAATAGGGGTTAAATAATGGACGTTATGTTAATAGTCTGCATGGGAATAGTGATAAATTGGAGGAGGGGGGGGGGCAGATAGATACTAGACCAATTATTTTGTTGATGCTAATCATACTATTTTTCTTGCTGTTGGGCAACAAAGCTTCATTTATCAGTTTATGGATCCTCTAAATTGTTGTATTGTACTCAGGTGACCATTAAGGCCCTTGGGCCTCTTGTTTTTGTTTTTTTTTTTTTTATCGTGAGCCGTAGGTCTGTACAATGTGCACATTCAGCATAATAAAGTCTTTATTTTTGTCCATATTTAATCCAAAAAATTAAGCTGCGCTCGTGTTTTATTTCTTGTACGGCTGTTTGATAGATTGTTTGATTAACAATCATACGGCGGAATGGAATCTAATAAATGATCGAACCTTATACAATTGCATTTGTACATCTTTATAAAACGGTCATATAAATACATGTATTATGCATGAACCCATTTGTAATGCGACTTTTAAAACTAAGCATTTACATATTTGCGATCTGGGAAATAGTAATGCTCTTAATTTTTGTGACATCACGCATTTTGTGCAATCACCTCGAATACTTCCCCTTAGATTTTCAATTTTATCATGATTTATCCTTCAAAAATTATACGTAGATGAGTGAGAATATTCAGACAGAACATTTCAAGTTTTCAACTGAAACAAAATAATACACAAAATGGGTTTATTTCTCCCTACGGAATTCGAAGATGCACTTTGTAATTGAGGGGTAAAGAAAACTTTCAATATTTTTTTAAGGCCGATACGTCTCGAAAAGGATTTAATTTACCTGCCTGGGAAGTCTGAAAACAAAGAAGTTATAGAAAAAGCTGCCGCCCAAGATTGGAAGAATTTTCTCTCCGTGAGATCCAGAGAGATGAAAAAAGGTAATCCAATGCCAAAAGATTATGATTCCTACAAATTATTATTTTTTTTCATGAGAAGAGCACTTCGATTCTTCATAACATATATTTTTCACCTATTCTGCATACAGCCAGTAAGGAGTGACTTCCAGGAATATTCAGTTATATTTCGGTTAAGAGATAATTGCCCCAAAATAGAACTCGCCAATGAAAGGTTTTGAACATTATAGAATTTAAAATAATGATTTAAATAGTCAAAGGAGCGTTTAAGATACAGGTGACTCTCGATCTCTCGAAGTTCAAGGGACCGCAAGAAAAGTTCGAGAGATTGAGGGGTTCGAGAGATAGAAAGTGAATAAAATCCGGAATTTTCAGTTCCGATCATCATTGTTCTACTATTATAAATACCGGAAGCACATGTCGATAATGTTATTGCACGTTTTTATTCGTATTTTACAGGTAATTCACTACAATGATCGTATTTTGAATAAATAAAACGATCTCTTTAAGTTTCAGTATTTATTTGTTCTCATTTCATGATAACATGAAACCTGAATAGCAATCGTCGGTGTGGCTACCCTCCGGGCTTCATCGTGTCCTTCACCAGATTTCTCATATTAAATGGGTATTCAGTTCTTCAGATAGGATTTCTTGTGCAGTGTTTGTCATACTGGGATTATGTAAATTCTAATAAACCTTCATAATCTATGAAAAATTATTGACATGTCTCTTAAATTATTTTCTAAAAATTATCGTCTCGCTGTCAAGTCAAAATAAGTTATGAAGCAATTCGTTTATAGTTTACCAATTGTAACCAATTAATTATATAAACACTCGGATGCTCACAGGTATAGTGTCATCTATGTAAACACCCAATTAACACCTACATGCCAGCCCGAGGCGTTCACCGTTATCCAGGTAAGTCCAAGCTGCATTAATTTTACGCTTGATTGGCATGCACACGCGCAATCAAAACTTCGAGAGATAGAGAGTAAAAAACGATGAAATGTGTGTAACGGGACCCAGGTCTTGGTTCGAGAAATAGAGAACTTCGAAAGATCGGAAGTTCGAGAGATAGGAAGTAAATTTGCTTAGTTATATAGAAGAAAAAAAACGGGACCGGGGGTTCACTTCGAGAGATCGGAGTTCGAGCAATCGAGAGTCACCTGTATGTGAACAATTTAGAAATAAGGTGTAATTTATTGAAACATCCATCGGGATACTGATACCGGGTCACGTGTTCAAAACAAACTACGTATCATCTAGCATTATCAAAAAGTCATAACTAACCGGTAACTACCCCAAGATTAATTATGACTAACTTCTAACAACTAATGCAAAATAATCACCTTAAACGCAGCAGTATATACTGTACGTAGATTCGTTAATGTATAGGCACCACTCGAAAAATAAAATTACTGGCTTTTATTCTTTTTAAGCTGGAGTGCATTAAAAAGTCTTCGTCATAAGAGCATTGGAGAATTTATATTCTCGCGATTACGTCTAAGTTTTGAAGGCGATTTTAAGTCATCATGTAAAAAAAAAAGGAATCTACAGTAAACAGAACCTGATTGGTTCCGGTCCTAGACCAGGAACAAATGAAATAGTAGAGCTCTTTCAAGCCCAACTTTTAAATAACGACTTATGTCAAGGGTTTGTGTGGAGTTCTGAAATCACAAAACCTTGACATTGTGAGGATGAACATACCTACAAATGTGAATAAGTGATGATAATAAAGAAGAAGGTTATTACATTAATTATTTACGTTGTCGTCTCAAAATATAACAAACCGTGTGTTCCTAACATATTCTTTTAAACCACTTCCAAAAAATAACATTTCCAAAAGCCGTTGTAAATAGTCCTCCTGGGCCTGAAAATGATGCTATCGAAAATTTGCCTATTTATACTGTCATTTTGGGTGGCAAGACAATTCTATCCAACGTGCTGCGATCGTACATGACGTGTACAGACAGTTTTGTTGTGGAAGTAGTAAAAGAATATGTTAGGAACACACGTTAGTAATATTTTTATATATACTATGAAAAAAACGAGAAACAGCTCTTTTTTTCTGCACAATAAATACAAACTTTTTTCAATGGGTGGCACTGTAGCTCTCTGGTCGTCCACCCCAATTTTTTCAGACCAGTGAGCTACAGATCTGCAGCTAGTATTCATCAAGACCACCCCATGATGAAAAGCTTTCGTTTTCAGTTGCTGTGCTTAATCAACGACTAGTTCAAACAGAGTCGACTGCACTATAGAATCAGATAGTTCATCTGAAAACATAATCACATTTATATCTATAAAAAAATTAGCAAAAATTACCTCAGTAAGATACGTTTAAATTACACGAGGTTTAATGCGTTATTTACACCAAAGGGACTTTGTGACGTCATTCAACCGCAAGTTAATTAACATTAAGCATATAGCAATTTCCCCTTCATTTCCCAGTTAAGCAAAGGTATTTTTGTACTAAACATAATCTGACATTCTTTAATACCAATCTCTATATTCAAAAAGTAAAATCCTTGTGTTTAAAACCGTTTCGTATGACTTTTAACATGTCATATATCTTTAAACATTTTTAGGTGCTGTGTTTCTCTGTATTGTGCTCTACTACGCTACAGAATTAGCTGAAATTCTTTGTGATGAATTCCATCAACTTTATGAAAGAAATATCATAACAAAGGTAACAATTCCTATTTACTATTTTATTAATTATTTTATTAATTATATGCAAGGCTTTTAAAATGTATAATTTCGATAGCTTCCGTACTGTGCTTCGGCAGTATAAATACCAAAACATGGTTGTGTCAAACAGTGTCAATTTCAGTAGTGGTGAGTTTAATTTTTTTCACATTTGCGACAAGTGAGACCGTCTTGTCTAGAGAGTGAAACCAAATTTGTTGTTAAGGATATATAACAAACTTTTATTAGAAATTAGCAATAAGTGTAATAGTTTATTTTCATGTAGATAACTTTAATAATGATCGCCGGAGTTATTTTTGAAATTTTTTGTAAGATTTTGTAATATGTCATAAAATGTGTGCAAAAATTTGTATAAATTTTTACAGAAAATATCACAAAGTCGCATAATTGAACACCAAAGAATACCCACGATTTCTTTATATTTTAGGATTTTATTTACGCCATTTCTATTCAAATTCAATCAAAAATTATAAACCAATCCATGTATTGAATTTCTTGCTTGTGTTATTTATAATTAGTTACAGAATTACTGTGTTGTAAAAGTCATCTACATCCTTCACCTTTCTGTTTAAAATTCTGCTACAAATCGTGAGGCCATTATTTTCATACTGAATTGACTACAGATTTCTACCCGATAATGTCAAAGGAACACGGCTCGTGTGACCGATCGACAAGATATGGTTACTACTCAATGGCGCCTGATCCACCTCTGATGTTTCCCGAGGCCTGTTTGCTCTGTTCACAATTCCTATAGTTTCATTACTTGAATTTTGAGTATGGTTACTGATAGTTATCATCACATTTCATTTAGAATAGGCATGTGATGTATTTATAGGGGTTTAGGAGGTACAGATTTTCGACGAGATATATTCAAATAAATATATATAGCATGAACATGGACACATTAAGAAATATAAAAAAAAAACTTGACTTCGTGAAAAAATTCTCCAAGTAGAACAGAAGTTATGAAATTTTCAATTTTGTAAATACTGTCATTTTATGTAAGAAAGTTTAACTATACATTGGTACTAAATGATGGCATATGAAAGGAAAGAAAATCCTTTAAATCTAAGTAATTTTAAAGGGATAGGGTCTTATTATATTTAGAAGTATGGCAAACTATATATTTTCGGAAAGGTCTATGCAAGTACTAATTTTTGTTTCCATGGCAGCTGACAAATATTCAAAATGGAAGCAAAATATCCAATATGGCCACCAATAGTGAAAATGCCCGACACAACATCTTACTGATAAAATGCTTTCAAAATCATGTAAATTACGAATAATAAGATTTAATTTATTACTTTTAAAAGATTTATGGAAATAGTCTTCTAAATCAAATATGGTCACCAAAAGCCGGAGAACTGCCCGACATCGCAGGAAGAAAGCTTTCAAAATTATGAACATGGCAAGGGCAGACCTGTTTACCCAAATTGTTGTCTCTCAGTATTTTTCATTAGATTTGTCAGTGAGATTTGGCATTTGCCCGTAAGATTTCACTTTTCATCGTTTGTACATATATTACTAGAAAACAACTACATTTCTGATTATCAAAACATGGTTTAATAACAAAGCAAAACGTCATACACTGCTCTCTTTTGAGTGATTTCTGTCATTTTTTAAACCACCGCGTTTTGGCAACTTAAATGTTTGAAAATTTTCTCTTCTTTAGCGATTTAAAAGCATCAAACTGAGACAGATAACGAAAACTATTTGCTAAAATCCATATGAATGGATTTCTGTATTTTTGTTATAGCAAAACGTAAGACGTATTTGGACTGAAAATCCGTACAAAATACGGCGTAACCGTAAGAGTAAACAGGTCTGCAAGGGTTGGGGAAAAAGAAATTAGTACAGTTAATTCACAATTTTATTTCATACAGATCTTTAAAATACAATGGTATTACATTTTCAATATCAATTAATAATTGTTTATATTTATTCTGAATTATCCATAATTCCAGGACAAGTTGAGCGTAAGTTCATCTCGGGCATCAGCTACTACCGGCGGGTACCATAGTCATGATATGGAATGATCCATCATTTCAGAAGTCTAACTATACTTGCTGAAACAAAAATTAACCAAAGTATCTTGTTCATAAGCAAAAATAAATAAGTAATTTTATAAGTAAATAAAATAAAATTTTCTTTTACTATATCACAAGTTTTTAGAAGTTCAGTTAATTATGGGGTGTTTCTGAGGAAATCCTGGCTACACAATTAAATTTGTAGTTAGAAATGACCATAGTTTTCATAGATTTCTTCCAAGAGGTCTAAAGAAATTTAATCTTAAATTTTCCATTTTCTCCTGTATTACGATAAAAAATTATGCATGTTAGAAACAGTGTTCAAAAGTCGCGTGCGGTGATGATTTTAGAAATGTAATCCGGGTGAATTGTTTTCGAAATGATTACAGAACAACAATATTCAGATAAGAAAGTTTCTCAGCATTCTGATAGTGTATGTGGCATAAAATTATTCCGTTTACTTACCGTAGTAAACTTGATCTTTCACCTTTGAAACGAAAATACACAAACTTCTACACGTTGCATTAGGATGCAACAATAACCACATTAATCTTCAAATTGTGACCTTTCCCTGTGATAAGTCAATGTCGTTCATTCCTTAAAAATTGCCTTCCGGAAAGCCAATCAAAATGACGCCGTCAACGTCACGGGGATAAAATTACAGCGTCATGCAACGAAAGAGAAATTCTGCTTCCAATTTTAGCCCAACTTCGACCCGGTTAAGTTTTATTGTAAACTTAGTAGAATGACATAACACACATCATATGAAAGTTCGAACAATTTTATGTTCATTATTTTTATTTTCTAGATAATTATGATTAATAACGCAAAAATTACGTTTATAAACACCAATAATTTGCATGTAAACGGCACCGATTACATAGCTATAAAGTCGAGTTACCTGAGCCCCCTACTTGATGTAATCATAAAAAAATTAGATACTAAAGCTGTTAGAGTATTGTTCCATGAAAACTGAAAAATGTGACTTAATTTATGTGTATTGTACGAGAACATTCAAAAGATACGTAGTCTATTTCTAAGGCTTGTTTGCTCTGTTCACAATTTACAATTCATTACTTGACTTTTGAAAATTACTGATCGTTAACGTCACATTTCATTTAGACTAGGCATTTGTTGTTATCATAAAAAATATTAGATACTAACGCTGTTAGAGTATTGTTCCATGAAAACTGAAAAACTGAAAAAAATGTGACTTAATTTGTACGAGAACATTCAAAAATAGTACGTAGTCTATTGTCATTTTTATTGTCTCCGGCTTTCGCGAAAGCGAGGGAACATATTAAATCTCATTCGTCTCTCACAAAAACTTTAACCTTGGTCATGAATTTTGAATGAGATAGGGCTTTCATATTTCACATGAACATTACATGTGCCTGTGACAAGACCATTTTTAAATATACTATGAATTTTGATCCCGTAACCTTGGTCTTGAAGATTCAACTACTTTTCATAGATTAAATCTCTGTTTGTAACTTTTGATTAAAACCAATTGATTGATTGTATGTTGTTTTACGTCCCATTCGAGAATTTTTCACTCATATAGAGACGTCACCATATACCGGTGAAGGGCCTCAAATTTTGACCTTTAATCGGCACTCAGGCCATTGAGCAGTGAGGGATCTTTATCTTGCCAACGCCTGCCGTGACACGGGACCTCGGTTTTTAAGGTCTCATCGGAAGGTCCCGCAACTTTCACTTCAAAGTGCCGAGCGCATGGCGAAGTTGCTACCCATTTTTTATCGACTTAGGTCAGTCGCCGCCGATATTCGATATCACGACCTCCCGATCACGGAGCTAGCGCTCTACCGACTGAGCTACTGTGAACGGTCTCTTGTATAATGAAATATCGTAACTTTGTCGCTCCTTGATGACTGAAACGTTAAGCACTTTTCTTGCTTATACGTTCCATAGACATTGTTTGAATTAGTAAGGCAAGCATTTTGTTTGTTTAAGTTCTCTCTCTCTCGAGTTTTTCACTCATATGGAGACGTCACCACTTGCCGGTGGAGAGCTACAAATTTTGACCAATACTCGGCACTCAGGGCCATTGAGCAGTGAAGGATCTTTTTTCGTGCCAGCACCTACTGCGACACGGGACCTCGGTTTATACGGTCTCATCCGAAGGACCGGTCTCCATGTCCCACAGTCGGAGTCGGACCCGCAACGTAAGGATAGCGGAGAGAAACAATTTTACAAAGCATAGATACTTGAAATTATAATTAGGTCAACAATGGGGTAAAATCATTACGGAGTTTTGTAGTGACGTGGTACAGCATGATACCAGATGTCAATGTCATCCCGTACCCGGTCGTCGAGCCATTTCCGAAATTTCTTATCTAGGTATCATCCGGTTACTACAGAAGTATCTACCGTATATACTCGCCTATAAGTCGGTCCGCCTATAAGTCGGTTGTAATTTTTGAGGTTATTTTGGAGGTATTTGCCATTGACCCGCCTATAAGTCGGTACAACTTTTTGCCAGGATTGGTGGACAATTTCAAATCAATGCTCTAATATTTTAACGCGTTTTAAATAATATTTTGAGAAATTACCCCGATTTTTTATCTCTCTTTTTTCTTCTCTTATAAATTTCATATCAATACTCTAATGTATTTACCTGTGTTCAAATAATATGTCAGGATATGACATCGGTAATTAATATTTTTATTTTTCAACAAACCAAACCACTACCATTTTAGTCTTCTTTTTTATACTGTTTTGTTTAAGCGTTAAATTCCTTGTCTTCTATATTTTATACACCGATCTCGATCTTAGGCGGATCTCGGTCTCTTTGGCATGGTGAAGAACTATGTAACGAGGCTAGTAACATTTTGATGATATTTAATTAGGAGGTGCTCAATGTCCAAGCCATATTTATAGTTTTTAATAACGCTATGTTTGATCTTTTATTTGCAATTACGGTCTCTTAATTACCTGTATCCCTTACCTGACACCGTGTTTATTTAGTGGCACGTGCCCCGAGAAAATCGTGTACTACACATGGGAATATTCATTCATAAACAATCGAGTTTTAATAGCCCCAGAATAATATTCCGAATTATTTTTTAAGAATATTATTTCTGTTGTCAAAAACATTGCAGACGGTACATATAATTATACATTAAAGCTAAACGTATTACCGGTATATCGGGTTCGCAATTCAATTTTACCGACAAACGATAGATTTACAGTAAGTCACAAGTTAATTAAAGAAATATTTTTGTTTATAATTAATCAAATAAATAATATACACTTAAGATCAAAATAAAATCATGAAAACATGTAAATACTTATACTTTATATATAATCTTAGAATACATAAATAATATAATACGTCCAGACATTTCTCAACGATAATCGTCGAAGTTATGTTGAAAATACTACATTTCGTCGTCTAGAAAAATACCAAGCTTTTGATGACTCGCCTATAAGTCGGACATAGAGTTTTGGACCAAAAGTTAACTCCCAAAAAACCGACTTATAGGCGAGTATATACGGTAATACATTTGTAAATAAAAAAAAGTCTCAACTTGTTATAACAGGAGGAGTTGTCAAACACAACCCTACCATCGTACCCCTACAGAACAGAGTCCGAGCTCAGGGCACCGTTTGACGATATTGGACAGCAGATCGGCATTCAACTTCTAGAACTGCGGAAAAGACCTGTAAGGTCCTGTGAAAATAGTAAGCATAGGTTACATTACTTATGTTTTTAAGTTCAACTAGGACGTGTGCACTTGTACGGCACAGTAAAAAGGATATCGTACATGCTGAAAATATCTTTTAAACAGAGGATGTTGTGCATGCCTCTTTTGATATAAAAATAAAAGTAATAATTGAGTTGTGAACTTAACTACTTGAATTGATTATGGACAAATAAATATTTAGAAGAAATAATATTACAAAAGAGATTACAATTTGATGATTTAACAAGGCTTTTTACGAAATAAGTACATTTTCCCCTGTCTGTATCTTTGTGTCATGAAATCATCAAATGCAACGAAGTACTGGTAAAATATTTGAATTTTTTTAGCAAACGAGTGCGATTGTGAAAATTTTGTTATATTGCATACTGTAATACATCACTGTTGTTTTTGACAACTTTAACTTTGCGCGTTGCTCAAATTTGTACCAATATCTTTATAAATTGCAATAATGTTAAATTCAAACAAATATTAATTTCCCTGATAATAACTGAAATAATAATAATCATGTAGCCAAGAGCGTATATAGTTAATGCCATGGCCATTTGTACGTGTGCGTAAATTTTGGAATATGGGTCATATCTCGGGAACCCTTTGGTCTATTTTTTTCAAATTTGTCACAGAGTATCTTTGGCCCAAAGGCTTTCATTAATTTTAAAAGAAAAGAAATGTAACCCTAGACAAGAGGAGATTATAAGGGAAATAAAAACAAAAGTAGAGGTTACTGAAATTTTTTTCTCAAGAACCACTTGGCAGATTTTCACCAAACAAGGATAAGAATGTGTTGTAGATTTTTAAATAGTTCAGGGAATCACCCTGGGGCAAAGGGCGTGGTCTAAAGGTCAGTTCAAAGTTGACCTAAAAATTCCGTTTTGTTAAAACTTGGATATTTTGACCACTATTAGGAAAAAGGTCATCAAATCTTGTAACTTGATGCATCTTAGGACCTTGTGTCTTGTTAACTAAAAGGTAGTTCAAGGTGATGTACTTTTTTAATTTTGCAGGTATTCGTTTTCAATTAGACTATGATGCATATTTTGGACACTTTGATTGATTGATTGATTGATAGTATGTTGTTTTACGTCCCATTCGAGAATTTTTCACTCTTACAGAGACGTCACCATATACCGGTGAAGGGCTTCAAACTTGAACCTTTACTCAGCACTCAGGGCCATTGAGCAGTGAGGGATCTTTATTGTTCCAACGCCTGCTGTGACACGGGACCTCGGTTTTTAAGGTCTCATCTGAAGGTCCCGCAACTTTCACTTCAAAGTGCCGAGCGCATGGCGAAGGAACAGGTTCTACCCATTTTTTTTATCGACTTGGCTCAGTTGCGGCCGAGATTCGAACTCACGACCTCTCGATCACGGAGAGAGCTCTCTACCGACTGAGCTACCGTGAACGGTGGGACACTTCAAAACCTAGAAGAAATAAATCTTGTGTATGCTCCTGAATCGGGCCTTGATGTGTGTCAACCAAAAAGTAGATCACCTTGACTTCTTTTTAAATTTTACGGCTCATCATTTTAAAACAATTAGGGTCATTACTTCGAATACCTGAGAGGTTTAGATTCTTAAACCTTGTCAGTTGATGCTCCTTGGGGCCTTGAAACATATACATGTATATCGAAAAGTAGGACACAGTGACCTACTTTCTGAATTTCGGAGGTATTTATTTTCAAATTGTTTATTGTTGTTTAACGTCCCTCTCGAGAATTTTTCACTCGTATGGAGACGCCACCACTTGCCGGTGGAGAGCTGCACATTTTGACCAGTCCTGGCCATTGAGCAGTGAGAGATCTTTTTTCGAGCCAGCACCTACTGCGACACGGGACTTCGCTTTATACGGTCTCATCAGAAGGACCGGTCTCCATGTCCTACAGTGGGATTTGAACCCGCGACGTAAGGATCAAATTCTTACTCCGCGACTCTAGAGCAAACGCTTTAACCACTACGCCACTTTTTTTCAAATTGTTTTAGATGCATATTTTGAACACTGTAAAGCCTAGGATCATCAAACCTTGTCAGTTGATGCATCCTAAGGCCTCGAAGTATATGATCCAAAAAGTACGTCAGTGACCTATTTAAATGGCTATATTTAAATATTTAACGGAACAATTGGCTATAAATCATCAAACTTTATTAGTTTATGCAACTTGGGTCTTCGAAGTGTGTCGACCAAAGAGTAGGTGATGGTGTCCTACGTTTGGAATTTTAAGGCAATATTTCAAATAATTAGAGTTTTGATATCATCATACGTGGTCACTCGATGCATCTTTTGTCCCTGAAGCTTGTCAACTTAAAAGTAAGTCGCTGTGACTTACTTTTCTAATTCCATGGTTATATCTTAATATTTCAGATACTAATTGGCTAAGATTCATCAAAATTCGTCACTTGATAGATTTGGAACCTTAGATAGTGTCAAGTAAAACGTAGGTTATGGTAACCTTATTTGGAATTTTAACGCAATATCTAAATATCTCAAATAGCAAGAGGTTTAAAATCATCAAACTTTGTCGGTTGATGCATCTTTGGTCCTCGGAGTAAGTCAACTAAAACTTAGGTCACGATGACCTACTTTAGATTGTTGATTGATTGTATTTTGTTTCACGGCCCTTTTGATAAATTTTCACTCGTACATGCCACCATATACCGGTGAAGGGCTTCAAACTTAGACCTTTACTCGGTATTCCGGGCCATGGAGCAGTGAGGGATCTTTATCGTGCCAACGCCTGCCGTGACACAAGGCCTCGGTTTTAAAGGTCTCATCCGAAAGATCCGCAACTTTCACTTCAAAGTGCTGGGCTCTTGCGGAAGGAATAGTTATACCCCACGCAACAAGTTGCGTGAGGTATAATGTTTTTTACCCGTCCGTCAGTCAGTCAGTCAGTGTGTCAGTCAGTCAGTCAGTCAGTCAGTCAGTCCGTCAGTCCTGTTTTTTTGTCAGCGCAACTCCTCATAAACCGCTGCACAGAATTTCGTCAAACTTTGCAGATATTTAGGACACAATGTGTAGATGTGCATATTACCAGGAAATTCCGATTCCTTTATTTTTTTCTCGGAATTTCGGCACTTTTCAACTTAGATTTTTGGCCATATCTTGAATATAGAGATGAACAGTTTGTCAGCGCAACTCCTCATAAACCAATGCACAAAATTTGGTCAGACTTTGCAGATATTTAGCACACAATGTATAGATGTGCATATTACCAGGAAATTCCGATTCCTTTATAATTTCTTGGAATTTCGGCACTTTTCAACTTAGATTTTTGGCCATATCTTCAATATAAGGATGAACAGTTTGTCAGCACAACTCCTCTTAAACCGCTGCACAGAATTTGGTCAAACTTTGCAGATATTAAGGACACAATGTGTAGATGTGCATATTACCAGGAAATTCCGATTCCGTTATTTTTCTGGGAATTTCAGCACTTTTCAACTTAGATTTTTGGCCATATCTTGAATATAGAGATGAACAGTTTGTCAGCGCAACTCCTCTTAAACCGCTGCACAGAATTTGGTCAAACTTTGCAGATATTTAGTACACAGTGTGTAGATGTGCATATTACCAGGAAATTCCGATTCCGTATTTTTCTGGGAATTTCGGCACTTTTCAACTTAGGTTTTTGGCCATATCTTGAATATAGAGGTGAACAGTTTGTCAGCACAACTCCTATTAAACCGCTGCATAGAATTTGGTCAAACTTTGCAGATATTTAGCACACAATGTATAGATGTGCATATTACCAGGAAATTCCGATTCCTTTATATTTTCTTGGAATTTCGGCACTTTTCAACTTAGATTTTTGGCCATATCTTCAATATAAAGATGAACAGTTTGTCAGCACAACTCCTCTTAAACCGCTGCACAGAATTTGGTCAATCTCTGCAGATATTTAGTACACAGTGTGTAGATGTGCATATTACCAGGAAATTCTGATTCCATTATTTTTTCTGGGAATTTGGGCACTTTTCAACTTAAGTTTTTGGCCATATCTTGAATATAGAGATGAACAGTTTGTCAGCACAACTCCTCTTAAACCGCTGCACAGAATTTGGACAAACTTTGCAGATATTTAGTACACAGTGTGTAGATGTGCATATTACCAGGAAATTCCGATTCCATTATTTTTGCCTTAAGAGTTTTGCCTTTTATTGAAGAAACTTTCCAGCTAGGTAATAAGAAACTCCACTGGAATCAGCTTTTTATAATGAAATTCTATGTGAAATATTTTATGACCTTAAAAGACCCCTATTGATTTTGAGATCAAAATATTAATGGTTTAACACAAACACACACTCACACACACACCATCTTCGATAGTTCTCCCCCCCCCCCCCCTTCAAATTGGTGTGCTTTGCCTTAAATAATTTGATAAGTACAGTATATAAACAGATTCATATGACTACATCATAATTTTGTTTCCATCAATTATTTAAATGTGTAAACTGTCATGTGTTGGACATGGACTTACACTCATTAACAAATCGAAATCACTGAGGAATTTAAATAACAGTTTGTCAGCATAATTCCGGCACTGAATTTCCTGAAACTTTGTAGGTATTTCAGAATAATGTATAGATTTGTATATTACCAAGAAATTTTGATTCCATTATTTATCTAGAAACTTCAGCCCAGTTAAATTTGTAACATACAAAGATTTGAATGTCCTTATATGCAAGAAGTTTTGATGTGATGATTTTTTGCAAGTAATGCCCCTTTTTTGAATTATACTGTGTATTTAAAATGCACTGTGCCATTCATTACGTGTTGCATTGTCGAGTTTTGGGGAAGCGTGGGGTATGTGAGCTTGCTCACTTTTTCTTTCATTGCTATTTTTATTGACTTAGGTCAGTCGCGGCAGTGATTGGAACACAGGACCTTCCGATCAAGGAGCAAGCGCTCTACTGATCGAGCTACCGTGACAGTGACCTATTTAAGAAATTCCATGGCTATATTTAAATATTTGAGATACTTATTAGCTTAGATTCATCAAACTTTGTCAGTTGATACATCTTGGGTCCTCGGAGAGTGTCAAATAAAAAGTAGGTCACGGTAACCTATTATTGGAAATTTAAGGCAATATTTTAATGTTTCAAGTAATAAGAGGCTATGAATCATAAAGCTTTGCCAATAAGTGCATCTTGGAATGTCGGAGTATGGTCAGGGTGACCTAATTCTTGAATTTCACAACTATATCGAAATATTTCGGATAATGAATAATCAAATTTTGTCACTTGCTCACTTGATGAATCTTGGGTCTTTGTAGTATTTCAGCCAAAAATTGGGTCACGTGACTTATTTTTGGAACTTCATGGCTATATTTAAATATTTCAGATATTAATTGGCTTAAAATCATGAAACATTGTCAGTTGGTTTATCTTGGGTCCACCGAGTTTGTTTTATAAAAAGTAACTAAATGTTCCAAATAATAAGTGGCTTAGAATAAAAATGAAAGGTCGTACAATCACAAAATTTGGTCACTGTGACCTACTTTTGGAATTTTTAAGGCTTTATATGAATATTTCAAAAATATGGGGCTAAGAACAGAAATGATGGAGTTGTACAATTTATCAGAAGAGAATTCTAAGCCTTGGATCGCTTGTTTTTATTTCAGAAGATATTGTTGGCAATGTGAGGTTATGGCTGTTTTGCACTTTAATGGCGGGACTCGGTAAAACCAGAAATGACAAGGAAGCTGGAGAAATCTGTAACACCTATTTTGAAAATTTAAGAGATCGGTTATCAGACTGGAATTATATTGATTTTTTCGTGTTTGATGTTATTTTCCAGAAAATGTAGTGATATTTTAAGTTACACGAGTTTCACAGGAGATGTCTTGCGAACTTTTTCGGACCTTTTGTATCATCATTAGTGGATTTGTATATTATCCTTTTTGCCTTAAAGGTGCTTAGACACGATTTGAAGTTAATATTTACTCAAATTTTCTGTTTAATCTCATGACTTATATGTTGCTATAGCATTTCATACGAAAATTTGATAAAAATCTTATTTTATCTGGAAGTTATTGAAGCTTCGAATTTCTGGACGCGTTTGATAGTCACATCCTTGCACTTTCACAAATTTTAACTTTATCCTTATTACTTAAAAAAAGTAGCAACTTTGTTGTTTATTAGTGAAAATTATTAAAAGTATAATGCAGAAATTTTAGAGTAGAAATGTAGAAAGCAAACTCCTCTCACCAGTATTGTCAGTCCGTGCTCAGTGGTGTTTGCAGAGTTTAACAATTGAACACACCCGGTGAAACGTAAACATTAACAACAACAGAGCTCGTGCTCTGTTTACAAAGACAGGTTACGTTTCACGGGTGTATTCAATTTGTTAAACTCTGTACACAACTACACAACACTAAGCACGGGCTGACAATACTTAAGTGAGTGGGTTTTGCTTTCGCACATTTTTACTCTGAATTTTCTGGATTATAGATATATTAGTCATTAATACACAACAAAATTGCTACTTTTCTCAAGTATTAAGGATAAAGTTAAAAATTGTGAAAGTGCAAGGATGTGTTAATAAAAAGCCTCCCGAAATTCGTAGTTTCAATAATTTCCAGATTAAATAAGTTTTTAATTTTATTTTCGTGTGAAATGCTATAGCAACATATAAGTTGTGATATTATACAGAAAATTTGAGAAAATATAAACTTTAAATCTGTGTCTATGCACCTTTAAGGATAAATAACACAAACTTTTTTTCCCCCAGAAATCTGCAATATTTCTCATAGAATAATATTAAATAGATTAACTGAATATTTTCCAGGTAAAGTGAGAGAATTTTGTAATATTTTGTCACTATGTCAAAAATATGTGCAAAATTTTGTTTAGAATTATATAGAAAACGATACAAAGTTGCAAATCTCAGCACCAAAGAAAACTTCGATTTCTTTATATTTCATTTCCATTCAAAATCAATCAAAAATGTATATCAATCCATGATCAAATTTATGTTTGTAATATGTATCCTTAAAGAACTAAATATTTTGAATATACAGAGTGCAATATACACAGGTGTTAAGCGGATACTTTCCATAGAATAAACTGAGAATACTTATATAAGAACTGTTTATTTCAAAAATATTCATAAGGAATTTCAACATGTATGAAACGACACAAAGTATTTTTTCAACTCTTCGTCTACATGTAAAATCAGTATTCTTATTATTTGTGCTGCACATTTCACAATTCTTCCTAATTGGAACGTACTTTGCTAAAAGCAAGAGACGGTAATTGGGGCCTGCCTGTCTGAAAACTTTCAGGGCTCTCACAACACTTTTTGGGAGAGGGACCGGGGTCGTTCAAATTGGGAAAATTATCGACATTTGGGGAAAATTGGGAAAACTAACAATCATTAAAAAAAACATTAATTAGCATTTTGGTATCAATTTAATTCTGCTTTTAAATAAACAGAACAAACATGGACACTAAGACTATTATATGTCCAAAAATCTGTCTTTCATGTTTATGAAGTGCTCAATTGCCGTGTTCAACTGGCCAGGTGTCAGGGTGCCGTTGGACTCTGACACCTTGCGTATTATAGCATCCAAAGACCTTTGTTTGAGACAGCTCCGCTGGGAGTGCAAATAGTGTTCATCAGCGAAAAAAGCTTTTCAACACAAGCAGTAGAACTTGGAATGATGGTGGTCAACAGGACCAGATAATGGATAGCAGGATAAGATATTCTGAGAATATCATCCCGTTGCAGCTTCCTTAGTAGAAACGTAGGTTCTTCCAAGTCCTCTGTATAAGCCCTCTGTCTGTAAGCCAATGAAATTTGCCTAATGATAATCACATAATGACATGTAAAATTAAAAGTAAACTTATGAACTATCAGTTTCATATTAATATGTATTTAGTATTTATAAATTCATTTATTTAATTTTCTTGTTAATATCTAAATTGATAGTCTTCCAGTTACTTTACAACTCTGAAATGTAAGACTTCTTAATACAAAGAGTAATTTGTGTTAATTTGATTTAGTCAGTGTTCAAATGGTCACATTTTTTAGAAAAAATCATTCATATAAACAGGACAACAATGCATCTTGACTTCAGACAGGTCACGTCATCTAAAATAAAAATTGTCTCCAGGCAAGTGGACTTAAAAACTGAAAGTGAAGAATTCATGTCTGAATAAAAATGCAAAAATATTAATAAATGGTTTAGTTATCTTTTAAAAGAACAAAAACAGAAGTGTTTTAGTATTGAATCAATACCAGTCCAAATTAATCAAATTGATGAACAGTTAACAATTTGCAAACTCATAAAACTTGTATACCTAATCAGGAACATTTTATGCTTAAAGCCTGCATATTGTTTTTTGTAAGTGTCTTCACTAAATACTGGGTATGAAACTGAAATATGACTCCAGAAGTTGTCCTCAATCCTTCGCCCATAGTGGGCTGCTAAAGATGCCATGTCTGCCTGAGAAAGACATTAAGTTCAAAGAATGCCGCATTTCCCAAGTACATGTTATATACTATGTGATTTTCTAGATGCGCACTAATATTCCACTGACTTGTATGTGTTAAAATAAATTGAATTTCCACTTTTAAATCATACTATGGTTTATGCAACCTCTCCAAATTGTGCAAGCTCTTAAACTGTCCTGGGACCGTTCACGGTAGCTCAGTCGGTAGAGCGCTCGCTCCGTGATCGGGAGGTCGTGAGTTCGAATCTCGGCTGCGACAGACCTAAGTCGATAAAAATGGGTAGCAACTGTTCCTTCGCCATGCGCTCGGCACTTTGAACTGAAAGTTGCGGGTCCTTCGGATGAGACCTTAAAAACCGTGGCCCCGTGTCACGGCAGGCGTGGGCACGATAAAGATCCCTCACTGCTCAATGGCCCTGAGTGCCGAGTAAAGGTCAAAATTTGAAGCCCTTCACCGGTATATGGTGACGTCTCTATATGAGATAAAAAAAATTCTCCAATGGGACGTAAGACAACATACAATCAATTAATCAATCAACTGTCCTGGGAACATCTTTCAGCTCCAGAGCTTTAAAGCTAGAGAGAACAGAGGAGCAATGAAATCCATCCTGTAGCTCTCCTACTAGGGCATTGATGAAGAGCACAGCAAGCTATCAACACTTGCTCCATATTATGAATGTTTACATGCTGACTGATGAGTAAAAAATTGGACATTAATATCCATATGTACAATATTAATCAACTTAATTGTCTTCAGAAACTTAAATGTAATTGATCTAATTAATTTATTATGAATAAAACTTGAAAACTTTGACTAACCGTATTTTTCTTGCAAGTTTAGTTCTATCTGCAATTTCATCCCATAATGTTGGGAGCTTAGAGAAGTATAAATCCCGATTTCCATCACAGTTTTCAGTACAAGTTCTAGACCTGTCGTCTGTAAGGTGATGCAGCTCATCAATCAAATCCTTAAAGTAAAAAACATATCATTAATATATGAGTTGTAAAATCTAAGCTATAATATATAACTAGTGCTAATTGTAACGGGGACCGTTACAGATGTTCCCCAAACGCTCCCCAACTCCCTTTAAAAGTCTTATTCCCTGTGAACTTCATAATAAAAGGCAATCAAGTATTTTTGTCATTTTACGCATTGCACGCGCGCCCACACGCAGGTATGTGCATGATGACCATGTCATCTAGTCTACACTTGTTAGTGTGAGTATCAAAGCATTTTATCAATAATATAAAAAGTAACGGCTATATCAAGAATATTTTTTATTTTGCGCACGTGCATGCATATGCATGCATGATGACCAAGTCATCTTGTCTACACTTTTAATATATCTAAATATTTTGAGTATCAAAGCATTTCATCAAAAGGTATAAAAATTACGACTATATCAAGTAAATTGGTCATTTAACGCTTTGCGCACGTGCATGCATGTTGACCATGTCATCTCGTCTACACTTTTAATATATCCTTTTATTCTAAGTATCAAAGCATTGCATCAAAAAATATAAAAGTTAAGAATATATAACAAATTTTTATTAGAAATTAGCAATAAGTGTAATAGTTTATTTTCATGTAGATAACTTGAATAATGATCGCCGGAGTTATTTTTGAAAATTTTTATAAGATTTTGTAATATGTCATAAAATGTGTGCAAAATTTGTATAATTTTTTACAGAAAATATCACAAAGTCGCATAGTTGAACACCAAAGAATACCCACGATTTCATTATATTTTAGGATTTTATTTACGCCATATAATCGGATTAAACGTTCTTTTTTCAGAATTTATCGACGTGTAAACTCATGCCTTTGTATTCAAAATCTGAATAAAAGTGCGAAGAACGTTTAATTCTTATAATTCCAATTACAAGTTTTTAAATTATTTCTCTTTGAAGCCTCACCGTTCACGGTAGCTCAGTCGGTAGAGCGCTTGCTCCGTGATCGGGAGGTCGTGAGTTCGAATCTCGGCCGCGACAGACCTAAGTCGATAAAAAATAGGTAGCAACTGTTCCTTCGCCATGCGCTCGGCACTTTGAAGTGAAAGTTGCGGGTCCTTCGGTTGAGACCTTAAAAACCGAGGCCCCGTGTCACGGCAGGCGTTGGCACGATAAAGATCCCTCACTGCTCAATGGCCCTGAGTGCCGAGTAAAGGTCAAAATTTGAAGCCCTTCACCGGTATATGGTGACGTCTCTATATGAGGGAAAAATTCTCGAATGGGACGTAAAACAATATACAATCAATCAATCAATCATATATTTTAGTATTTTATTTATAACATTTCTATTCAAGTTCAGTCAGAAATTATAAACCGATCCATGCATTGAATATTTTGTTTATGTTATTTAAAATTAGTTACCGAAATACCGTGTTGTAAAAGTCATCTACATCCTTCACCTTTCTGTTTAAAATTCTGCTACAAATCGTGGGGCCATTATTTTCATACTGAATTGACTACGGATTTCTACCCGATAATGTCAAAGGAACACGGCTCGTGTGACCGATCGACAAGATATGGTTACTACTCAATGGCGCCTGATCCACCTCTGATGTTTCCCGAGGCCTGTTTTCTCTGTTCACAATTTATATATTTTCATTGCTTGACTTTTGAGTATGGTTACTGACCGTTATCATCACATTTCATTTAGACTAGGCATGTGATGTATTTATAGGGGTTCAGGTACAAATTTTCGACGAGATATATTCAAATAAATATTTCTAGCATGAACATGGACACATTAAGAAATATAAAAAACTTTACTTGGTGAAAAAATTCTCCAAGTAGAACAGAAGTTATGACATTTTCAATTTTGTAAATACTGTCATTTTATGTAAGAAAATTTAACTAGACATTGGTACTGAATGATGGCACACGAAGGGAAGGAAAATCCTTTAAATTTAAGTAACTTTAAAGGGATAGAGTCTTATTTTATTTAGAAGTATGGCAAACTATATATTTTCGGAAAGGTCTGCAAGTCCTTATTTCTTGTTTCCATGGCAGCTGACAAATATTCAAGATGGCTGCAAAATATCCAATATGGCCACCAGTAGTGAAAATGGCCTACACATCTTACTGATAAAATACTTTCAGAATCATGTAAATTAGGAATAATAAGATTTAATTTATTACTTCTAAAAGATTTATGGAAATAGTCTTCTAAATCAAATATGGTCACTAAAAGCCAGAGATATGCCCGGGCATCGCAAGAAGAAAGCTTTCAAAATTATGAACATGGCAAGGGTTGGGGAAAAAGAAATTAGTACAGTTAATTCACAATTTTATTTCATATAGATCTTTAAAATACAATGATATCACGTTTTCAATATCAATTAATAATTGTTTATATTTAAACTGAATTATCCGTAATTCCAGGTCCAGTTGAGCGTAAGTTCATTTCGGACATCTGCTACTACCGGCGGGTACCATAGTCATGATATGGAATGATCCATCATTTCAGAAGTGTACTTGCTGAAACAAAATTTAACGAAGTATCTTGTTCACAAGCAAAAATAAATAAGTAAATTTATAAGTAAATTAAAAAAAAAATTCTTTTAATGTATCACAATT